GGAACAGTATTCCCTGGCTCAGCTGAGATGTTCTGAGAGAATATGAGATGATGATTAGGGGTTGAAATGTGATAGGCTGTATAAGTATCTTCTGTAATAAAAATAAATAAGTGGGAATTTATTTTCTAGTCACACAAAAAGTCAATATTTAAAATGGGTTTTCTGATTTTTTCAATAATTTATCAAAATTTCAATGAACTTGCTCTTCTCCCTTCCCCCCTGTTTTTCAAGAAAGAAGCCGAAACTTTTCAAAAAAGCTCTAATTATAAAATGATTTAAGAATCAGATCCTGCTCATCAAGCTGAATATTGAAGTCAAAGCAGCAAAACTAAAGAACAGTTGAGCCTTAAGCTCTGATTCTGCTTTTTCTGAGTAAGTTCCTTCATTTCTGAACCCAATCAAGAGTTGAGGCCATTCTAGAAGGTTTATAAATGCTGATCCTGAAAGATCTTTATTGATAACCAATGCAAAGATCTTTTTAGTATCCTTGAGGGAACCATAAAGCAATCTCATCAGCTAAAAGCACAATAAGTTGCTTGGTTTTCCCAGCATTTCCCTGATGTGTCAGTGATGAGCTGTCCACGCTCACGGCCTGAACTTAAAAATTCATGAAATATGAATAGAGTTATTGGAACACAGAACTAAACATGTTCCCAACTTTGAAGATAAAACTGGAGAAAGTTACTTTTGTGCGTTGGCTGTTCCCATAGTGGGGGAAGGTGAAGGCTGGAGACAAAGGGTTCACTCCTTGATGGTAAATATGTGCCTAAAGTACTGTCAGAAATGACAGAGAGAGCAGACAATGTGCCATCAACTTCTTAATATCAGCTTCTGAAAACAAAAGATAGCTTTTGTTGCAAGCATTTACTCATTTCTCCAGCCCAGGCCTCCCATGGCCAAGGGACGGAGGGCACAGAGGAATTCAGGGATGTTGGTGACCCTTGCAGGGAGAAAACAGTGGGAAAACCAAGGAAGGAGCCCATGGACAATGTGGAGGCTAAAATTCACCTCCCTGATGGGGGTTGGACTTTCTCAGAGCTGGTTTTGAGCAGCAAAGTAACAAAGTGAAGCTGAATAATCAGGAGTCTGAGGGAGAAAAGGGAAGATGAGCAATTCCTGAGCACTGCCTGCAAACAAAGAAATAACCCACTAACAACACCCCAGCCAGAACTCTAAGATTTGGGGGAAACAACTCATGGCTTTAAGTTGAACCTGTTGGGGAGGGGGGGAAGTTTATTTTTTGGGTTTTTTTCCTCGTGCAGATCACGGCTTTCATACAGGGATTTAGTCACAGACTTATGCAATTCAAGCAAATTTACCTAAAAGACCCAAACATCTGGTGGAGCTGAGGGAAGGCACCTTTGCCCTGTGCTCTGGAGAACACACAGCACTGGCACTGGCTCCAGTAAGTAGCAAAAGCTATTTTTTCCTGCCTGTTTTACATCTCCCAGAATGAGAGGAGAGTCTGCCCCAGATATGTCATGGTATCATGCCACCATCAGATGCTTGCAAAGTGATCAGGCTGAGATAACTTCTGGAAATCAAGTTATTCTTGTGTTTTTAAGTCTTCTTGTAACTGGCAGCTTGTGTTGGCTGTATTTTAAGGAGCAGAGATTTGAGCTAAAGCATTACTATGTCATTAACCAATCCATTGAATATTCATGATTTAGGGGATTTTTTTTCTCCCCACAGAAGGAAAGAAGTAATTATTTTGGCTAGCACTTGAAAAGTGTGTGTGTGCTGTTCATAGAACTCCACTGGAATGGGCAAAAATAGAATTTTTTTATTAGACATGCAAACTGATCTTCTCTCCTCTATACTGAGAAATATCCTTTAGTTCTTCTTCTCTATTTAGTAACAATGTTTCATGCCTTTTTTTGGTAGGAATGTAGTGAAAATGGAAAGAAATGAGAAAAAAAAAAAAAAAGAAGATAAAAAGCCCAGGCCCTCCAGTGGAGGCTGAGCTAGTCCTTGGTTGAACCCTGTCTTGAGAGTGGGGTCTTGATGAACCTTTTCATGTTTGTAGCAAAGGTGCAAAACTACAGTTTGTATTTGCTATTGAAGTTTAGTTCAGTCTTGTGGTGGTGCAAAGCTCACAGGAAATTCATGCTCCAGGGCACGTGGGGAGCTGCTCTGAGGACTTTGATGCCACAAAGCACAACTTTGTCAGGTCTCCTGCAGCCTGACCCTCTCGGTGTCCATCCTCAGGACAGGACATGATCAAGGTCCTTGAGGTCCATCCTCAAGGCAGGCCTTGAGTCGTGCCAGGGGAGGTCCAGGTTGGATATCTGGAAAATTTTCCTCTCTGAAAGGATTGTTAAGCACTGGCACAGCTGCCCAGGGCAGGGGTGGAGTCCCCGTCCCTGGAAGTGTTCAGAGACACGCGGATGTGGCACTTGAGGTGGTGAATATGGTGGTGCTGGGCTGATAATCTTGGAGGTCTTTTCCAACCTTTTTCATTCTGTGATTCTCTGATTCAGGGGACTTTTTGATCCTTGCTGTGTGTTGTGTGAAGTGCTCTGCTCTCCCCCATGTCCCTTTAGGGGAGGTGTTTGGCTCTCCCTTAACAGGAAGAAAAGCAGCAACAAAAACAGGCACCTGGGGAGGTGTTTGAACTTAATCCTTCCAGACAGGGCAGGGGGATATTATGTGTATTTTTAATTTTTAGCTCTCATGGTGTTTCCCACACAGCATATTTTTTCCTTGCATTTTTTTGTGCCTATTCCTTTTCTCCTGCCTCGCTGCCCTCCCCGGGCCCACACACACTCACAGTGCCAGGTGTCCTGTGGCTGTCACCCTAAAGAGAGTTGTGGCTTCCTCCCTCCCTGCTTCCTTTGGGGACTTAGTTCTGCTCCTTTCTTGGAGAAAGTGGGGACAAAATACTTCCCTTGTCCTTCAGCGAGGAGCTGCTTCAAATTCTTGTATTCTTTTTTTTTTTAAGATCCTAAGAGTATAATTATTTTTTTTTGCAATAGGATCATATGTAATAGCCATGTGCCAAATGTCTTTAAATCCAGCTTTTTCCAAGCTATTTTATAATTAAAATAGATCTTGCTGTTTCTGTGCAATGCACCAACCTGACTTCAGTGGGAGCACTGGGTAATGAAGGACAACAGGAATTGGTGTCCAGCCCAGGCTGCTTCAGAATAAGCAGCAGGCAGTTTTCTGTTTGCACAAATATTTCTGCTCCTGACAGTTCAGGCCATGTGGTTTCCCTTTTTGGTAAACTGCTCTGCAAAGCTGAGGTGGTGTTTGTTTATTTGTTTAATAAAAAGTGCTTTTATTGATCTAGAGAAAACATCCCAGTTGTCAGCTCTGGAAACAAAACTTGTGCTTACCATGTGCCAAAACACCCCCAAAGAACCCCCAAAGCTGCAGGTGTTGGGCTAAGCTTCCCCTCAGTGCCAGCCAAAAGCTGGTTTTCAGCAATTTGTAAGGTATTTCCAGCTTCATGTCACCCAGACCATTCACATCTTTTCACCTTCTTAGCAGAATAATGAAGCTGAGTGTGGATGATGGACTGACCACGGTATTTTAGGGAGTTATGTGGCTGTCACTCTTCTCCAGGCTTGTAGAAGGGTCCTGGCTCTGAATGTAGAAGCCATAAAAGATTTCATGTGCAGCTAGGACTAAATTAAAGCTCCAAATCCTCCAAAGCAATTTTAGGTTTGTTTCCATGGCATTGATTTTTTTTTATTTTAATTTTTTGTTTTGTTTTGTTTTTAATTATGGCTCGGGGGTGAGCGGGGTTATTCTTACCTTTTGAAAAGTTGCCTTGTAGGATACAATGACTCAAGGTTGCTTGAATTTTTAATCCGTGTTGGTGTCACCTCTCTGAAAAGCGGGGTTAACTGTGGCGCGTGGATAGAGCCGGGAACAGCGGGGTTGATGGGGTTGTTCAGTGGGGGATGCGCTCTCAGGAGAATATTCACCATTCTGGCATTAATGGATGTGAATTCTAGTGTATGATGTTTTTATCACTCCACCTCGTGTTGGTGTTCGAGGAACAGCCGATCCTCGCTCCAACGCCGTTCCCTGGCGCCGGCACAGCGCGTTTGGGGAGCGGGATGCTCCCGTTGTGATGCCGCGCCTGTTACAGAAGGCCGGGGCTCCAAGGGGGAGGATGAGGCTCCAAGGGCGAGAGTAGGGCTCCAAGGGCGAGGGTAAGGCTCCAGGGGAGAGGGTAAGGCTCCAGGGGAGAGGGTAGGGCTTCCATGCGGGAAAGCCGGGGCGCAGAGTTCGGGAGCGGACCCCGCACCGGCCTGGGGGGCTCAAACTTTCAGCGACACGGACGAGCCCGAGCGCGTCACCGCCACCGGCCCCGCTGGAGCCCCGCGCCCCCCACCCCGCGCCCGCCGCGGGGGCGATGCCGATGCCGATGCCGATGCCCGGCCGAGCTGCGGGGGAAGCGGGGGCGGCCCCCGGGCCGGGCTCGGGCCTCCATCGCGGGCTGTGCGGGGGCTGTGCGGGGGCTGTGCCGCAGCCGCGGGCCCCGCGTTGGGGCGGGGGCTCTTCATCCCTCTCCTCCTCCCCCTCCCCTCGCCCGGGAGGGGCGGGAGCCCCGCGCTCCCCCCGGTGCGGGCGGCGGGGGATGCCCCGAGCGCGCAGCGCAGCAGCGGCCCCGCGCCCCCCCCGCGGCGGAGGCGGGAGAGAGAGAGGCGGCAGGCTCGGCGGCAGGCTCGGCAGGCGGGAGGAGAGGAAGCAGGCAGGGGCTGGGCGGTGATGCCGGTGCTGCCGCAGCGCTCGGCGGCCCCGCGGCCGCCCCGCAGCCCCGGCGCGGGCGCCCAGCGCGGGGCATGAAGTGGCGGCGGCGGAGGGAGCGCGGCGGGCGGAGCGGGGCGGGCGGCCCCGGCCGCGCCTCCTCTGCGGGGCCATAGTCCGGGGCGGGCTCCGCTGCTCAGCCTGGGCGAGCGGTTCTGCTGCTCGCCGGCCCCTCTGCTCGCCGGCCCCGCGCTCCCCGCGCTCCCGCCGCGCCCCGTCCCCGGCCCCGCGATGTGCGCGCAGCGGGGCCCGCTCCCGTAGCCCTGCGGCTGGCGGGGCCCCTCGGGAAGTTTGATGGCTTCTCTGAGGAGAGTCAAAGTCCTGCTGGTGTTGAACCTCATCGCCGTGGCTGGCTTCGTCCTCTTCCTGGCCAAGTGCAGACCCATCACGGCCAAGAGTGGAGACTCCTTCCATGACATCCATCCCAGGGCAGAAGTGGCCAACTCGACAGCCCACGGCGGCGGCTCCATCCAGGATGCGGTGCTGAAGAGGCTCTCGCTCCTAGAAGACATAGTCTACAGGCAGCTGAATGGTAGGAATAGTTCTCCTGCTTTAAATGCCTTTCGGGAATGGTCGTGGGTGGTGAATCGAGGCTCAGAGCAGGTGCCCGGCTCGCTTGAAGTTCGCATGCCAGAGCCGTGCTTTTTTCTGTGTTATTGTGCAGACGGGGTCTGAGTCAATTTAGCACCTGATTTCCAAGTTCCGTGTGTGTTTAAAGCCCGGAGTACCTTGCACAGGATGGGAGGAAATCGTAATAACAGAATGCTGCCTTTGAGATTTAGAGCAGCGGTCAGGAGATGACAGAGGCACGATTTCTGCATCAAACGAGCAGGGTGTGCAGTGGGCGAACATGGGTTGGAGGAGCACAGTGTGTATTGATTGAGGGAATGGCTTTTACTCCTCCAGAGTTGGGTTTTTGGAAAGGAGTTTTTAAATGCCTCAAGTGTGTTGCATCATTGGAGTGCAGAAGGTCAGAAAGCAAAGGCACTTTCTCTGTGAAGTTAAGCAAAGTATTCAGTATTTCCTATGGCTCAGCACTGACGACTGCTAATTAAAATCTCAAGTAATGCTTCTCTTTATAGCACAGCAAAGGGATTTCTATTAAAATCTCACCAGGTTCAGTAGTTCCGAGATGTCAAAAGGGAGTTTTAAAGATGCTGTGCAGGATAGAGCAACGTGTTGTAAAGACATAAGAAATCTGGCTGAGGTATCTCATTAAAACACTCACTGTGGAAGCTGATTTTTTTCAAGTTGTTCCCCATAGATTCCCAACTGGAGTTGGTCTCTGAACCAAGAGTCCTGTTTATTGCTTCCAGCCTCTGTAGCTTTAACACCTGCAAGTTTTCTAGAGTCAGAATTAGCAGAGTTAATGTTTTTTTGGCCATGTCAGTGTGATTCCCTCTCTGAGTTTTGAATATGAGGCTGATGCCCGGTTCTGTGCCGTGTTGATCCAAGAGCTGCTGTGCCCCGAGTGCTGAACCCGAGCTCGTGCTGCTCTGACTTCTGCACCCGGGAGGTGAGGCAGGTGCAGGAACGCAGCGTGCCCTCCCTGTGCCAGTTGGCAGTGCCCTTCCCTGTGCCCAGCCTTGGCTCAGTCACTGTCTGGGCTTTGGGGATGGCACTGGGCGCAGTGAGAAGTGGGAAAGTGTTATTTATATTCCTACCTTACACACTTGCATGAGGAACCCGTCCTGCCTGTGCCCGGCACCATGGGATGCTGGAGCAGCACTGTTGGCTGACAAATGTGGTGAAGCGTAAGAATAACAAGGAATAAGGTAGAAAGCTGCATGTTATTTATAATCAAACTGTGGAACTGCCTGCTCCTGGATTTGCTAGGGCAGAAGTTGCTGGGGAGATCTAGGCAGTTATTTAAAAACAGGCAATAGCTGCGAGACAGGAGCCCTCACACCAGGACCTTGGACTAGGACAAGTAATCATGATGCAGTCTGCCCTTCCCACAAATACACAGGGAGAGCTGAAGGGATAAGATATTGCCCTTCCTCGGTGGCTCCCTGCTCTGTTGTGCTCTGGGGGCTGCTCTTGGGGCTGGCTGGGGTTGTGAGAGGAGCTGGGAGCTCAGGACAGCTCTGTGCTCTCCTCAGGCTGCTCTGGGCACTGGGAGCACGTTCTGGTGTTGTACTGGAGCCTGCTCAGCGCCCAGGAGCAGCGATGCACCTACAGACCAGGGGAGGCAGAGAGGGAATAGAGATCTTGCCCATATCACAGACGTTTTCCTAGGGCAGGCAGAAAGCTGAGCACATAAATGTGACATCTTGTCTGGCCTCTGCATCCTGGGGTGATTTATAGCAACACTGATCAGTCTGGCTAAAAAAATAGCTCTGGCACAGTGCTTATGTAACTTTGGGTCAAGTGTATCTTTGGCACATGTGGTTTTGAGAGGAGCACAATGTGCCCAGTTCTCTGAGTGATGTGTGTGTGTTGTGCTTCAGCAGGACAGGGGTTCAGAGCAAGATGTGGGGGCCAGGTGAACCCCCCATCACCACTGAAAGGGAACAGTGACCTGTGCTGGGACAGTCCCTGGGAGCGGCTGGTCCGGCTCCCCCACCAGGAATTTTCTGTGCCTGGATCATCATTCCTTCTGGGCACTTGAGGAAAACCTAAAGCTGAAATCCTGCTGCCCCCTTGGAGTGTGCAAACATGAGTTCACTCCTCCTCTTTGATTTTTGGCTGGGGGAGTTGTGTGCTGGTGCCTCACCAACCCCACCTGAGCTCTTGGCCAAGCCCCTGCAGAACGATCCACCCAGAGGTTGTGTAAGGTCGTATTTCACTGTAAATCTGACCCGTGGTTTAGCACAAAATCATAAAATATAGTGTCCTGTAGTGCAGCATGTGGAAAATCTGCACCTTGGGAAGCATCAGGAAGCGTTTGGCCGAAGAGAGAAACTACCCCCCAGTTTGGGTGCAGCCAGCTATGGATTTTTTCTGCATTATAGGACTTGGCTGGGTTTCAGTGGGAGTTGAAGCCATCTTTAAAAAACTGAATCTCTTAAAAAGCTCCATTCTGTAAAGATTAAATGAGCAATCTGATCATACCATTGCTGTGGGTTTGGTTTGTGAGTCATGTAGTGTAAAGCATATTGGAAATAACAGCCCTCTGTGGTACAGCAACCCTCATGTTTTATGTGTCTGTATTTATTTATCTCTGTAAACATTGGCCGTGAAAACAACCTAAATAGCACTGCCTTGGGCCTGGTAAAGGAAGGATTTGACACAATCACTCTTTTTGAATGACAATTCTCTGGTGGGCCATCCTGGAAATAACACCAGGCTGCCTCTCACTCCTCTCTGTGCAAGAAGAGCTGTCCCAGACATGACCCAGCCTTCCTCCCACGATGCCTCCTCACTTCCCAGATGATGCACTTTGCTGGTCTCACAGAGTTTTGGAGTTAACTTGGGTAGCAGTGCACAAACCTACACTGTGTCAGCCACTTGTTTCACATGGGGGTTGAAAGAGAACCCCGGGAATGCTCCACAGGATCAAGGAGTCACCACAGCAGGCACTGGCCTGGTGCAGCTTTCTCCTCATTCTAATTCATGAAGTACCCATGAAAAGACTTGGGTTTGCCCCAAATTGTCTATTTAGTCTTCTTGTGGCCTGATTGAGAACTGTATGTGTGCTTTGTTCATTCTAGAAGTTTATTATTGCTCCCTAATTCATTGCACAAGTTGTGTGGGGTTTGCTTTTTGCTGTTCTGTTGCTTTTTGCTGCTCTCTAATCAGATGGCTCCCACACAGAGAAGGATGAGGGTGCCCTTTGAAATGGAGGGCTTTGTATGTGCAGGCACTGATCTGGAAATTCAGAGGATTTTTAATTTCTGGAGTCACTTTTATGGCTGGAATTCTCTTGTTCAGCAGATGTTCAGAGAAAGCTAATGAAGGGCAGAAAGGAAAGTGTGTATTTTACTTTGGGTATTAGCTACAACTTGTCTTTTTGATCCAAACCTATTTTTCTGTGTGCTGACATTTACATAAGCACAAATTGTGGTCCAGATTATCTCCAACTTTATGGAGATTCGCACAAATGAACTTTTCAGTTTGTCGCTGTGTTTGCAAAGAAAGGGTTTCTGTGCTTATGTGACCGGGTAGGGAGTGAGGAGCTGGAGGGAACAGAGACTCAGGGGAGAGCATCCAGCTTTGGCAGGAGCCATGGGCTTCCTGGGAAGGGCTGGGCAGAGTCACAGAATCACAGAGTACTCTGAGTTGGAAGGGACCCACAGGGATCAGTGAGTGAATGGCCCATATGGGGATCAAACCCACGCTCTTGGTGTTATTGGCACCATGCTCTGCCCAGCTGAGCTCATCTCGGGGTCTGCCTTTATCCATTCCCCTTCCTCTGGGGTCATGTGGGAACCCATGAGTGACCGTGAGGCGTTTGAGAAACTGGGCATTTACAGGATCCTGAGCCAGCAAAGGTGGGCCAACTTTCTAGCATCAGACTGGCCTGTAGGATGAGTGCCATGGCTGGAGGAAAGCTGATGTTTGTGTCATGTGTACAAAGACACTGCTCACTGTGAGACCCCTCAGTGGGCTGGGTCCCATGCCTGTTGTGTGGTGAGAAGTGGCTCCTTTCCCTTCCTCCCACAGGGAATTGCCCAGGTAGCTTTTGAGTGACTGTTTCATCTTCCTTGAGCTCTTGCATTACCCTCTTCCACCTCCCTTCGTGCTCTTGAAGGTGTCCTGGATCCCACCCTGGCATGGGAGATGTTCACAGCAGGGCAGGGTGTGTTTACCCCCCTCCTAGGAGGAGAGAGGATGAGGGTGGGGATGCCCTGGGCAGGAGAAGCTTTGGGAAGTTGGACACCTGGCTGGGTGGGATGTGCAGGGTCCGTCAGCAGGTTCCCTTATGTGTGCAGGGTCCATCAGCAGGTTTCTTTATGTGTGCAGGATCCATCAGCAGGTTCCCTTATGTGTCCCCTGCTCTGGGACTGCTCCAGTGCTGAGTGTTCATCCCAGGCAGGAGCAAAGAGCCTGGGTCTGATCTGGTGTGTTGTCCTGTCTCTCCCTCCATCTGCATCTGACCCTGCAATCCCCTCCTCTGAACTCTGTGCACCAGAAGCTCTTGAGGTCAATACATAAATACTTCAGTCATTAAAACTGCCAGTTTGAGAACAAGGAGTGCAGGAGGGAGAGAACTCTAAATAAACCCTGGGCCTGGGTGTGGGGAGGCCATCACCTGTATCTGCCACCTTGAACAGATGGCAGCTGATCCCTTCTGCTGGTCCCTGGTTACCTGAGCAACCTTCCACCCAGCTGGGCTGGGACAAACACCTGCCTGTGCATGTTCAGGGGGTCTGGCTCTGGATTAAAGCCTCTGAGGAGAGTGAAGGCTCTAAACTCCCTCAGTGCTTTTTGGTGGATACACAACAGCAGCTGAGTTTTGTCAGCGAGACAAGAATAATGTGGCATCTGAATAGTGTGGAGAATAGTATGAAAAGTCTTTACTGCAAGCCAAATATTGGTAAGGCAGAAAACACCGTGAAAGGGCATTGCTGACTTACCCTGAGCTCTTCT